AATTTTTGACCGCCGGTGCCCGGGATCGAACCCGGATCTCTGGCATGCTAGTCTAGCACTCTAACCGCACGGCCACTACCGTCGGTGAGAAAAATATAATTTCTCAAAATTTCCAGAACAATATTTAAGAATTAATTAACTTAAATTGAAATAAATAATTTTTTTTTTTCGATTAAAAAAAAATATCTTTCACCTTAACACAATTTTTTAAATAAACCAATGATTGAATGATTAATAATTCATCATTTATTATCAATTGATAATTATTTATATTAATTATTATTATTATTATTTGTTATTAATTTTATGAATTATTTCAGACATTGCCGAAAGCTCCACCACATTTGGCGATTCGAGGACAGATGGAGAGACGGCGGCCACCGTTTCTCAGAGGCACTCCAAAACCCGAGGTAGATAAATAAATAAATGAAAAGCAACAATCGCAACTTCAAATTTCCCGGGTCATTACGCGCAGCGCCGGTCGCATTTTGTACTAAATTTAAAACATAAACAAATTCATAACCCCCGAAACGTCAAAATGTGACAGATGAAAATACACGATACGTTTTTATAAATAAATAATTAATCGAAATGCACCGGAAGTGTCGAACTCAATCGGAAAATACAATTATTTGGGCCTTACCGAGTTGAAAAGGAAAAAGTCCATGTAAAATTCAAAAGAGCCGATAAAATGTCTCGACGCCGATTGGATTTTTCCCTTTATCCGGTAATAAACAATAAAAAAAATAAACAAATACTTCATGCCAAAAAGATTAAATCTCCTAATTTTTCCCTTATTATAAAATTAATCCAATGATAAAACTGTCTAATTTTCAAATTTTCAAAAGTCGTTTCTGCGAGTAACTGAGTTTTCGAGTAATATCTCGAAATCTAAGAGAGATACAGAAATAAATATAGTATCTTTTTTCTAGCTCTGATTTCCCTCTACAAAAAAGGTCCCATAAAAAATTTGGCTATCTCCCCCAGATTCCGAGATATTCCAGCTAACTGATGCACTCGAACCAACAATGACCAGTTACCTGTGCTCCAGGTGATGATTTATCAAAAGACATTTAATTCCAGGCAGGAAAGGCCTCGACCCGGGACCCAAGTGGCGTGGAGCCCCTGGGAAGTGATGAGGATTACTCCCCGGATGCCCTGGCCCGCCAGAACTACGAGCTGCGCAGTCGCCTGGAGGAGGAGTCCAACAATTACAAACGTCGTTTGAGCACCTATCGTCAGGCCCAGCAGCACCAGGCAGCCCTGGTCTCCCGTCTACAGGCAAAAGTCCTCCAGTACAAGCAACGGTGCTCTGAGCTCGAGAGCCAAATGATAGAGTCCCTCCCACTGATGGAAACCACAAGAATTCCCACAGTTTCATCCAGCAGTACTTCCGCCCTGGAGGCAGCACACCAGACCCTCCGGGACATTCGCGAGGAGCAGATCCTGGACCTCGACACTGCCCTGCGAAAGCTCTCAGAGGAGCGCAGAAGATCCGAGAAACTCATCGAGCTGAATGCAGCATTGAAGAATCAACTGGAGGAGTCAGTGAGAACGAATGAGGCACTCACCAATGATCTCCAGAAGCTGGGGAACGACTGGGAGGTACTCCGTGAGGAGATGAACATCAAGGAGGACGAGTGGAAGGAGGAGGAGCTGGCGTTCAACGAGTACTACACCTCGGAGCACCACCGACTCCTCAATCTCTGGCGTGATGTTGTCGCCCTCAAACGCGTATTCTCGGACATGAAGTCCTCCACCGAGAGGGATCTCACGAAATTTCAGCACAAATTGACAGCCGCCACCAATGACATGACATCAGCCTGCAGTGGAGTGAAACTAGCGATTCAGGTTCAGGCCTCTGCCACTCAGCCTCAGTTTCAGGGCTGCCAGGAGACGTCTGACATTAAATCGGAGATGACAGCCTTGAGGAATCAGCACGAGGTGGTGGTGAACGACGTCAGGATGAAGGACGAGAGGATCAATCAATTGATACGAGAGATTCACAATCTTGAGGAGAGATGTGGCGAGGCTGAGGCGAGTGTGGGACAGGCTGGAAGGATTCAGGAGGAGATGGAGATCCTGGAGGCTGCCCTTAGGGACATTGCTCATGCTGTCATCCAGGATGCTGAGAGCAGAGAGGCTGAGAATACCCAGGGACAGCATGTACATCTCTCCCAGAGTGCACCGATACCTCAAAAGTCACCGAAGAGATCCAATCGCAGCAATACTGTTCCAGCATTTGCTGAGAGCACCATCAGCGCTGTTCAAGCATCTCTCCACAAGTATCAATTGGCAATTCACGAGCTCCAGGTGAAGCTGCAGACCAGCCGGGAGCAGTTGGCACTCACCAAGAAGCAGGCTGACTCCGCTGAGGAGAGTGTCACAATTCTCGAGGACAGGAGCACTGAGTTGATCGTACAGTTGGATAACTCCAGGGTCCAGTGTGCGCAGCTCATTCAGGAGAGGGATATGCTGCAGAAGAGTCTGGATCAGGCACGAGGGGACAAGAATAATTTAGAGAAGAGTAGAATTGAGATGAGTCACACCATCGAGGAGCTCAATAATGACTACGAGAAACTCCAGAAGATGAATAATAAATTGCAGAAGTGCTGTGACAGCCTCGAGGATGACAAACTCTACCTGCAGAGTGAACTGGATAGGATGGGTAAAGACAGTGAGATCAGGGAGATGAGTTTCAGGGCGGAGGAGGAGCGCTGCAGCAGAATGAGGGAGGAGTTGTTGACTGTTAGGGAGGAATTGAACAGAATCTATTTGTCCAGGGATATGCTGGAGCAGCAGAAACTCGAGGGTGATAATCTTCTGACGGTCATCGAGAAGAACAAGGGTGATGTTGAGCTAGAGCTGGAGAAAGTACTCCTGGAGAAGACTGATCTGCACGATGAGTTGATGAAGATGGAGGCGATATGTGGTAATCACGAGAAGGACAAACAGAGGCTTGCTGAAGAAATTAGGAGACTCGAGGAGGACAGGTCAAAGCTGATTAATCAGTGCAGCGATCAGGCTGGTGATCTCGGCTCTCTCAGGAAGGAGCTACTCCAGGCTGAACAGGCGAGACTGGATTTGGAGTCTGACAAGGTGACGTTGCATGAGAAGATCAAGTTCCTGGAGATTGAAAAGGAGAAAGTAGAGATTGAGTTGGGACAGGTGACGAGGGAGAGGGGAGACTTGTCGAATCAGTTGTCGATGTTGGCGAGGAAGAAGGAGTCGTTGAATGAGGAGCTCATGAGGATCAGGCAGAGACTGGAGCAGGCGAATGAGATGAATGCCAGGTTGAACAGAAATCTTGAAGAGTTGGTGAAAGATAATGAGGAGAAGCAGGTGCTCCTGGAGACGAATGAGAAGGAATTCCAGAGGATGCAGGAGCTACTAGCGTCTATGAGGACTGAGAAGGAGACGTTGGAGGGAGTTCTATTTGATACTCAGACTAATCTCGAGGCAACGCACGCCAAAAAGATTCAGCTGGAGAAGGATCAGCAGGAGTTGTTGGTCAAGCAGGAGAGCCTCAAGGGACAGATTGCGAGACTGATGAAAGACCTGGAGAACAGTGAGAAAAGGGGACAGGAAATTAAGCACAATTTGACGCAGCAGAGGGGGAATCAGGAGGCAGAGTTCCAGGGGATAATTGCGAATCTCAAGAAGAACAGTGAAGACACTTGCAAAAAGCTCAACGAGGAGAAGGAGCAGGTGAGATTATCACTGGAGAAACGCCTCCAGCAGACGATAACGTCCCTCGAGTCCCAGAAGGAGGAGGAGGTCAATCAGCTCCAGATGAGGATCGACGAGCTCCAGCAGCACATCGATAATCTCTGCCAGCAGCACGAGGAGGCCCTCCTCAGGGCTGAAAATGACAAGCAACAGTCTCTCCTCATTGCCCATCACGATCAGCAGGCGCTCATGGAGAAGCTGGAGAATCTCTATCGAGAGCTCGAGGAGGAGAGAAATACTCTGGAGCGTCTGCGAAGAGAGGCGAATTCCAGAGCTGAACAGGACAGAAACAACATCAATCAATTGAGGGACGAGTTGAACAGATTGAGGACAAAACTGGAGGAGACAAAACTCCAGGATGACGAGGAGAGGATGCGACTGGAGCTTAAGATCGAGGATATCGGGAAAGAGAGGGAGACGGTGCAGAAGGAGTGCGAAGAACTGAGAGTGCAGCTTCACGTTGCTGAGGACAAGGTCGACACTCTCCAGAATCACCTCCAGGAGACGACGAGAAAGCTCAAGGACGCTGAGAATACCATCGAGACAGTCAGGAAGGAACTCGTTGACGTCAGGAGACAATTGACAGATTCTAATTACGCGATAGAGAAATATGGTAACACCAATAAAGATCTCCGGGATCACGTGAAGAGGATCGAGGGTGATAAGCGAGAGCAGGCGAGAAGTCTGGAGGAAGCACACCAGAAGATCGCCAGTCTTGAGGACACCAGGACGAATCTAGAGGCGGAGAAGAATCGAGTGCAGTTGCAGATGAGAGATATGGAGCACGAGTTGATACAGATTCAGCAGCAGTTGCGGTTCACCCAGGACGAGCTCCAGAAGAGTCAGTCAGCGAATTCCCAGGCGCAGACTGAGGAGCGCGAGCTCCAGGCGCGACTTGCCAACGAGACTGAGGAGCGTGAGAGGCTTCAGCTGCAGCTTCATCAGTTGAAGAAACAAGTTGTGGATCTGGATAACAGTCTGGAGGTGACGAGAACAGAGTTGGGTAGATTGAGGGCGCGAGGTGATGAGGAGGACGAGAGGTGGAGGGGAAGGGAGCAAGAGCTGCTGATGAGACTGGAGGACAGCCGGTGCAGGGAGAGAAAATTGGAGGACCAGAAGCATAATCTTGAGGTTTGTCTTGCTGATGCTTCGCAGCAGTTGCAGGAGCTCAAGGCGAGATTGGGGGGATCCGAGGGGAGAGTTCGTGCACTTGATGGTCAGCTGACGCAGTTGGAGGCGGCGAAGAAGGAGGTGGAGCAGAAGCTGAGCAGCGTCGGCTCGACCCTGAGGAGAATCGCTGGAATTCAGCTGGATGGAACTGTAAGTATGCCATTTAAACTGATGAGTCCCTCGAGGAGGTGGAGTCCTGTTCGTTCCCATCAGGAGCACGACGGCAAGTGTGATGTTATCCTCGATGTTGACCCTGAGGCTGTGAGGAAGGGTGTGAGAGCCCTGATGCAGCAGGTGGCGCAAATCGAGAGGGAGAGGGACGATTGCAGAATTGAACTGACTAGTGTGAAGAAACAATTGGGTGAGGCATCAGATCACCAGAACAAGAGTGACTCCAAAATGAATAATTTGAGTGCATCAGTGAGAAATCTTCAGGACGAGAAGGCAGCACTCGAGGCTAAATTGTCCCAGAAACAGACGGCGTATCAGGCGCAGCACGAGGCACTGCACTGCAAGAGTCACGAGGTCGAGTCACTTCGGGAAAAAGTCACAGCTCTGGAGCTGGCCATCTCCAGTGAGTCAGATGAGAAGGGCCAGTGCGAGGAAAAGCTCGATAAGATGAGGCAAACACTGAACAGACTGGAGAACGAGAAACGAGGACTCCAGGAGGATCTGGGAAGATCTGAGGCTAGAGCCACTAAATTGGAGCTCCAGAGGATGTCCCTCGAGGGAGATCTTCAACGTCTCCAGATGGTGCTTCAGGAGAAGGATGGAAATCTCCAGAAATTGCAAGATCGTCTCGATGTCCAGATGCGTACCTCCACTGGATTGGAGGAACGATGTGCCTCTCTCAAGTCCACGATTGAACAGCTGAATCTTGCGTTGGAGAGAGCTGCTGCATCAGAGAATGAATTGAAAAATGAGATTGGAGTTCTGAGGAGATCTAGTATGGAGCACAATGCAATTAATCACAGCAATAATGAGAAGCTCAAGCAGCTGCAGAAGCAGTTGGCAACAGCTGAGAATGAGCGAAGAGTTGTCCAGGAGCGATTGGATGCTGCACAGCAGACAATGATGGAGCTCAAGCACAATAATCAATCGGTGATGGATCAGAACTCGAGGTTGCAGAATGATCTGGCAAACAACGAGGTGCAGAGATCTGGGCTGGAGTCACAGCTGAGGCTTGCCAGCTGGCCCCAGGAGGGCTCCAATAAAGACGAAGAGGTCGTCAGGCAGTTGCAGATTGCCCAGAGGGACAGAAGTGAGATGAGAGGAAAAGTCGATGCTCTCAACGATAAAGTCAGGACTCTGGAAGCTGACAAGAGAAATCTGGAGAGGCAGTTGCAGTCAGTCAGGGCCAGCGGAAGTCGCAGCAAGAGTTACGAGCGTCCTGAGAAGGCTCACCTGGAGCTGGCTGGATCGAGCATCAGTATGGAGATCTTCGAGCAGGAGAATCGTGAGCTGAGGATGAAAATCAGGCGACTTGAGGCGCAATTAGCTGAAAAAGAAGCTGAAGTTATGAAATGCAAGACTCTTCATTCACACACCCATTCACACTCGGCTCTGGACTCGGGGAGGGACAGGATGGCTGAGATCGAGAGGCTCAGGGCAGCTCAGCTACAGGCTGAGAAACTCCTCGAGGGCAGGGAGCAGAGCCATCGACAGCAAGTGTCCAGACTTGAGAGCCAGATTCAGCTGTTGAGGGAGCAGTTGAATCAGGAGATAAAGAGACGACAGCTTTATGTTTTGAGGAGCTCAAGGGCTGGCAGGGAAATGCAGCATCTCAGGCAGGCACTTGGGGATTCACTGAGGACTGTTGCCCAGGATCCATCTCTCGATGCTATTCTCCTGGAGCATGAGGCCAGGAAACTTGATACTACTGTCACCAGTACCACTAGTCTACCACCATCTCTGGCACTTCCTCCACCTCCATCGTCTTATGATCGAAGATCTCCTCTTCCTTGAAAGGGCCGTTAACTCGGTCTGTCAGCGACGTTTTGGACTAATTTTGGAGGTTTTTATAACGATCTTTCCGGAGTTTTTTTTAAATTTACACTTTTTTATGGGGAATATCGACATCGCAGTGCAAATTCATACGAAATAGTCATTAATGTCATTTTTTTGTAGGTTGTAAGGATCCAGTCATTTTTTTTAATGTTAAAGTGGAATGATCTCTGATTTTTATTATCTCAAGTGAATTTTAATCGATTAATGATTAATTGATTGCTTTGTGGGAATTAATTTTGATGGGAAAGTTGTGAATGTTTTACTTGTATTTTTTTTAGTCAGTGGATTATGGCGATGCGTCAGTATTGATTTTATGGTTTAAACAGGGATTGAATATTGATTAATTAATATTATGGGTATTAACAATTACTTATTTTATATGAAGGAGCAGATAATCCGTCCAGTGAGAGGTGAATTCTACGTTTGGTCTTGATCACGAGACCAATATCGTAAATCCTAGGAAATGCATCGTAGATAATCTTTTAATTTGTGACTAAGAAATTTAATAACGACTTGAATGTCTGGAGGTAGCGGTTCCAGGGGGTGTGTTTTTCTTCCTGGAGGAATGGAATTTTTTAGAGGATTGTAGAGGTAATGGGGACTGCGTCGGTTCTCAGGTACAGAGAACACTAGACGTCTAGTCTCAATAATCACACGAATCGCGGTTTAGACAAGATATCAATGAATCGTATCCCTGACAGATCACTCGATGAAAACTCGATGATAACTTCATTCACTCATCAATTTATTGATTGGGCTGATCGATAGTCGATCGTTGGTGGATCTCGATCGATTGTTAAACGATGGATAATCGATTATTGGTCGAACGAAATTATTAATTGATCGATGATCAAGCAATACTCGATGATAACTTGATTAATTCATCAATTTATTCATTCGATTGA